GCTCTAACAGGAAGCAGCATCATCTCTAACAGGAAGCAGCATCAGCTCTAACAGGAAGCAGCATCAGCTCTAACAGGAAGCAGCATCAGCTCTAACTGCTTCCTGTCTTCCTGCTGGCCGATCAGAACCGGCCGAGGAGCTAAGCAGAACCTGCTGCTGTCACGACCCGATTCTAGCGGTTACCTCTTGCTTTGGGCTGCTCTCATTGGACAGCTCGATAGCGGAGTCCTGTTTGGGGGAGGGGCTTGGCTGCACGGCTGGCTGCTGATTGGCTGTCATAGTGTTGGACAGGTACTGTCGGACCTGCTGCCTCTGAGCCTGCTGGATGTGGTACCTGGTGGGGTTCTCCAGGTGGGTTTGCACCTGCCAGACACACAGTGGGAGGAGCTAAGAGTGACACCAAGGTTTAATTGTTCTCCATTCATGTGTAGCATGGGACGTCCCGCACCTTCAGCACCTCCACAGGAACCTGAGCAGGCGTACAGGAAGTGGTCACAGTCAGGCTAATAGGGGAGGAGGTGTCAATGGAGCGCTGCTGCTGCTGCGCCTCCTTCTGCTCCTCCTCCAGAGCCTGCTGACGCATAAGCCCCTGACGCAACAGAACCCTGCAGGAGCAGAAAGAAGAGGAGCAGGTTACCGCAGCTCCCCCCACAGGACAACCAGGGAAAAACCTCAGAAGAAGAAGCGCTTCTGCTGACCTTGATGACATCACTGACGGAAGTGAGGATGAAGCTGAGGATGAGGGGGAGGCTGCGGAGGAGCTGAAAGGAGAGACAAAGGGAGTTCATCCTGTTTTTCATTTTATAATCTCTGTTCTAAGCAATCTCTCCTGCTCAAGGACGCAGAGGGGCGGAACGCAGCCTCCGCGGTACGATTACAACGCTACACTAACTATCTTATCAGTTAGTTTTGTCAGTTTTGGGCTACTAGAAAAGGTCTATGACTATGACCTGGATGAATCTTCAGCTGCATAGCTGATCATTTGTTTGCAGGAACTAGTCTGTGTCAGATTAAGGTGATTAAGAGGAAATAGTCTGCCTGGTCAGTCATTTGCAGGAATTAGTTTTTGACTTTTTTTGTTTTTGTTTTTTTTGCAGGAATTAATTTGTAATTAGTCGGCTGCTTGCAGAAATTAGTCTGGCCCAATGAATTAGTCTGTGCCTGGCCAGTGGTTTCCAGGAATTAGTCGGTACCTGGAGGCTTCAATGTTCAATCTGAGGTACCTGATGTTGACTGGCTGACTCTTGATCTGGTAGAAGGTATCGCTGTCCGTAGGAATCAAACCGTCAACCTCGATGTCCGCCACGATCCCAGACTCCATCCTGAAATATGGAGAATCAACCAATCAGAAGC